CTCCCTTTCCTCGCATTAAACCCGATTTCACTGAGATATTGACTAAAGGCTGACGTCTCCCTCCTCCAATATATCAAAGTGCTGACAAATACGTGTAACTGGGGCTGCTGAAAATTAGCATATTAAACAATACTCATATAAGCCCCAATCCCTACATTAATTCTTATTGTTGTGAATAATATCTTTAACAAAACAATTATACATTTTGAATGTCTTTATGTTGACAATTCTGACAAAAGCCGAACACGAATGCGGATTTCTTAAGCCCGTCAAAACTATGCTTTCAGAATATCATCGTTTATCAGTATGTACGCACATGACACAAAGCATGCAAAATCCATAAAAACATAAAGACTACATAAATTAATCTTATAAAAATAAAACGCAACATGAAATACGTTTATCATAACAGTACAAAAACATTTAAAAAATAATGAGTAACCGCGACAGCATCGGACTGAGGCTAACCTCGTATCACCCCGAGTCTCCACGTTAAACCAAAACCCATCTCTATAATCAGCATAACCAGGGGTGGATACAGATATATTTTCTGTAAGTTTTTCAAATTATCTTTGTTTATCCATCCTCCATTTTTGACCGTCTTCCGACAGCAAAAATTAGATATCCGTCAATGCAAACTTGAAAATCTGACCGTCTTCCAGAAGACCCAGAATCGGCCTCAATCCACCCCTGAATTAACGTTGCCATGAACGACAGAGGCATGCTTATAAAAGAGATGAGTTGCCGGCTAAATGTGAAACTCGGGGTTCCCTCACGCTGGATCAGGCAATATCATATTGCAAGTTCATAAGGGCGTCCTAGTCCATACTGATATTCAATATTTGTCACCGCATTGAGCGGACTAGACACCGCGTCTCTCACTTCTGGACCCCGAAGCGCTGAGAGAATGTTTATTGATCAACAATACCCCGTACTTATAGAAAATTAACATATTCATTGACTTTATTATTATAAGCAATATAACTATAAGAGAACACCTGTACACAGCATTCTAATACTTCTCCCATGCTATGGAATAAGTTGTCAAAATATGGTAGGTATTTTCACGTACCTTGTTTCAGATCTTGCAACCTCCATATTAGAAATGGACACGGTGCTGTTAGTTCTTACTATGGTGACATTAAACGTTGCTTTATACTCTGGCTCATCAAAACAAGGGAACGTTTTGCGCGCTTTTCCAGGCTGGAAGAAAGTTGCTACAACCACTCTGAAACAAACATTACACAACTTGAAATACAGAAGACCATTCACGTTTGGGAGGAAATGAAGCAGTTCCACACGCACGCACACACACACACACACATACACACGAATAAATAAATAAATAAATAAATAAATAAATAAAGGAAGGAAGGAAGGGGGCAACTTCTCCCTTCTCCATCTACAGCAACATCGAACTACATGGACGGGGAAAGTTAATGATGACCTGTGTTGTTCCATTTATTTGTCAGGCAAAGTAACCAGTTGGTACTACTCCCCCCCCCCCCCCAAAGCCATGTTTTTTCTCGATGTAAAACATGTTTTGCAGAAGACACACAAATGTGAGTTAAAACAAAGGTAACCGCCCGAGAGGCTATTTTTTAAAAGAACATTACACACATGTTAGAAAAGTTTTTTTTTCAATTAGGAAAATGATCAAACGCTCGGCTCTTACATCCCGCGTTGCTTTGAAGTGTGAATGAAACTTGTAAACAACGAAAGCGGTAGGTCCTCTTAACAAAAATGAGACAAGAAGTTGCCATTAATAGGAGGCCAGTGTAAAAAAAAAGAAACAAGNAAAAAAGTTAAAAGTGTTAGCTTTTCCGTTCTTCCAGTTTACCTTAAGTCTTTTTCTTTTACTTAATCAACATCTAGATAAATACTACAGACGGAGCAAATAACCTGTTTGGGAGTATTTTTGGCCTGCAACATGTACCCCACACTCTTTTCTCAACCTGCGGCTGTGGAATTGGTGTCAACTGGCATGCACCCCACCACACAAATGTTTGAGATGAATCTGCACATTTGACCACATTTGCTCCCTTGCGCTCCTGTTGTTTTAGAAAATAATCTCCCTATCTTTCGGTTTTCCGATTCCTTAAATAATTCTAGTTATCTTTCGAAATTTATCATATTTACGGAAATTTTTGGCCAATCTTTGCGTATTTTTAAATAAATTTATTTCACCTGTTATATAAAAGAGGCCATTTAAGTTGTGTGCTACTCGCTGGAGCACGTTAACACTATATTTTAGAGCGGTCATTCACACGATCTCTTTTTTCGAAGATGTAGGGTGGGGTGGGGGATGGCACGCAAGAAATCGCCCGTTTTGGCAATTCCCAATTTTGACGGGTATTTTGTGCTGAACCGTAGTAAAGCTTATTTTAAAATTCAACACAATCGTTCACTGTGATAATGTACACGAGCATAAATACATTTATAAATACAGAGAAAAACTCAGTTAGAACTCCCAACCAAAAGTTTATCTCAAGAGACTCAACAGATCATTTGCGAAGCTGAAGCACAAATAAAACACCGTGTATTCGACGTGTGTTCAGATAGACACAGAAGTATACATGAATAATCTGCATTGTGTCATTCTATTAAGCGCTGAATCAAAATAAAACCCTCATAGAGAAAAACCAGACCGGGTATGTTTGCAAGCTATGCATTGAGCAACACCAGGAGCTGAATAGAATGCTTAAGGATACATAGGAGGCCAAAAAAGAAGAGAATTGTGAAAGCCATGGTGAGATAATCTTGGTGTTTGCATGATACAGTGTATACTTTGACCACGTATACTTCGACCACTTGCAAAATTTATGAACTCAGTTTTGCTATTCCCAACAGCACTTATGGTGGCAGCGGTGGGACTTCCTTTTTAAGACGGTGGATATTATTAGGACACTTTGTCTATGAGTCCAGCTCGGCGTCTTGACTTAGTGTCTTTATCCTCTTCTATTCAATCAGATATTCATAGCTTGTGAAGTGATACATTTATAAGTGGCCTTTCTAGTAAGCCATTTATATTCACAGTAACTTAAAGATGACCGCACTTTATTTATGATCTGTGCGTATGTTTATATATGTATATTTTTATAGGCAGCAGAATTCGCCCAGATTATTGCGTGATAAGAGTGGTTTTTGACGTGTTGTGGTTTACCGTAAATGAAACATGAGATATTTCAAGTGTATGTGATAGGTATATGATAAGTACTTGTACAAAATAAACAGTAGCAGTAGTGCAGGTGCGCACTATGCCATCATTATCCCTTGTATACATATAAGAACTTGTTGAGAAGTAGCAAAACATGAGTGATTACGGTACTTTTGTATAACCTACATTCTCTCTCTCTCTCTCTCTCTCTCTCTCTCTCTCTCTCTCTCTCTCTCACACACACACACACACACACACACACACACACAGACTTTGTTATGATATAGTCATGCTATATGCCATATTGCGCAGGCCGAAATTAACGCAAAAAAGCACACACTCACTTCAAATCATTGAAAACTACACGCGAGTTTTATTATTGCCAATAAAAGGCGCCAAAAGGTGCCTGGTCATAAATGTTGCATCACTGTTGGTAACCTTCTGTTTATTTACCAAACTGATTGATTTTTAAACGACTTTGATGAAGTAAAATGCTTTTTGTATTGAATAAACGAATGTTCCCGAAATAAACAGAACTGTTAAGCACCTTAACATAAAGTGCAATTTAGCAAAAGAGAAAAGTTTTTTGTACCATAAAAAACACCCGTCGATTACCAGAATCAACACCTAGGATTATGATCAGATTATCTAACACGCCGTTTCGAGATAAAAACAGTTAAGTTTATTCCATTATGAATATATTTCAACTTCAAGGGTAAAATGCAGGAAACCTCAAAATCAACATTTCCTTAAGATCACTTCAAACACTCTTTGTGGGTCTGTTTCTAAATGGAATGCGGGGTAACCGATCACTTCCTCACTTCCGTGTAAAACCACATGTTTATGTCTTTGACACAATAACACAGACGCCAATCTTTCAATATTACGTATTCGCGCACTGTCAGGGGAACATAATTAACACTAACACGAGTTCCAACCGAAGATAAATATTTATCACTGAGAAAACATTCGCAAAACACCGCTGGGCGATAGAGAGTTTAGGCAGGTACATGTACTAAAACAAAACTCGGATTTTTTTTACAGCGTCGACATCATCCATTTCACTGATTATATTGCCTGGAGATAAGATACTCTTTGGATATGGTGTTATATAACACATTTTTATTGTTTTCTAATGCATGGACGAATATTAATACCCCGACACAAATGAGCGATAAGACTGAGAATGTCCCTATAGGTGATAGAGTTAACCCAAGTAAAACCTTCATAAAATGTTTGTCTCCCGTGTAAAACCCCTCTTTTGAAGTTTCCAATTTTTGGAGAAGTGACAAATTGCCTCTTGCAACTTCTAGTGGATTTACTGTTTTCACGATTTTGTCGTTTCTTTTGTACAGAGAATCAATTCATCCTTATTCTTTTTTCGTAAGCTATGTGTACAATTTTTTCTAGAAATGTGGGCATGACTCACAGCGGATGTCGATAACAAAAGATCCAGACGCGGATCATCTTGCTTACACGTCACGTCACGCTCGAGTACAAGTTACACCACGCCTGTTTTTTGTTCTTCTTATTGTTCTCGACATCCGCCCTATTGTTGAAGTCAGATACACAACTCATCAGCAAGGTGTATGTTACTGGATGTGCGTCACACTCATGTACATCACATACATCTCGCTGGCTCGCGGTGTATCCGGGAAAGATCTCTGTAGTGGTTCACCAACATGCGTGACGGGTAATTTTCGCCTAATATTGATAAATCATCGGGAAGAGAAATAAGGATTTACGATGGTCTTATTACACAACTAAACACAGCAGTATCTCTCTCTCTCTCTCTCTCTCTCTCTCTCTCTCCATCCATCAATCAAAGGAAGCCAAAACTTACCTCTGTCAGGAAATACCAAAGGTCGTCAGTCACAGCGCTGGAATAGGCACGCCCTCGCAGGTAATTCTGAAAGTATTGTTAACTTTCAAATACTCTTTACATCCTACTATTCACTACTACTGAACAACAACATATCTGTATAGCAAATAATCTTTGGAGATTAATTTAGAAAATGAAGAAAATGGATAATTCAATGATATTGTTCTAACATCCTTGAGAATTTTCTCTGTTTTACTGCAACATTTTTAATTATTGCTTTAGCTGTTCTAATTGATTTCCCTTTACTTGTACTTTACTTATAACTTATATAAAATGGGGGTGCCATGTGTGTAAATTTTACAACTTGATTTTAAAGTTCATTGACGACTTTACTCTAAGCCTACTAGCACCATGTGCCTGCAGTTGCCAGTAACGACAGAGACATGTCAATGAAAGAACTTTAAAGTTACCACCCAACAAGCACGCCACGTTTGAGCCGCGTGGCTACCACGTTAGGACCACTTGGCTACCACGTTGGGACCACTTGGCTACCACGTTGATATGGCGTAATAATGAGGTATAGCAACGTGCTAGACACGAGGTAGCCTACATGTTTGCTGGGAACATTCCAATGCCAGTTACGGCAGATACGTGTCGATAACAGAGCTTAGTTTAATTAGGTCCTACCAGTTGACTATGAATCACCGGAAGAAATTTAAATAACGATGGTTGCTTTCTTACCGACACTCCTTTTCGGAAAGTTTTCTCCCCCAAGAACCCAATGATCATTCGGAGGACGGAGGCACCCTGAAGCAAAGGCATTTTATATGAGAACCACGTACCCATATGTTTATATGTTATTTTACATACATATTTTACATACATGTTATTATTTCTACGTAACTCCACAAGAGACAGTTGGTACTTTGATTTGGTGATACGTTCAATCTTTTTGTTGTTGTTGTTGTTGTGAGAACTATTTATGTAATTGCCCTGAACCTGACGAAAATTCCTATATCTGAAATGAACTCTTGAAAAACGCGGACGGTATTACAGGCATTCTAATTAATAGTTTGGTCTTTCTTCGTTTAATGTACAATGGAAAATATTGTATAAGCTTTAGGTCGTCTAATTTGTACATGAATTATTAATTTTGACAAATTGGGACTTCAAAAAGTAAATGACGCGTGTTTCGGTGATGCGGTGCACGCAGAAATGGATTTTTTCCTCTCAGTTTTTTGCTTAAACCGGGCATTTTAAGAATACAAGAATTATTTCAACCGTTATCATTTATCTTCCTGCATCCACATCGATTTTCTTTCCTTTTTATTAATTTTTTCTATCTATATTATTGTGTTCCAGGCAGCAGCGCTTTACATATTCTCTCACCTTGTAATAAGTGATTTCGTCAAACTTGATATCTTGGAGCCGGTACACAGGTTGAGATATACTGTGGGTGAGGTTCATACTGTCCTTGATAAGCCCATCAGATACACTATCTGGCAAAAATTGTTGATTCTATAATAATAATAATAATAATAATAATAATAATAATAATATCTGCAATGGAATAATAGAAATAAAAATGAAGAAAATAAAAATTAAAAAAATTGTATTGCCTTTTGTCGCTTGGCATAAGACAAATGATAGCACATGCAAACAGACTGAAGAAAAAAAAGAGAAACGGGTTTATATGTTTATATACTAATACACGGTTATATTGGAATGTGTAAGCCCACGGGCATGCTTATTTGCGATTCGAAACACAATCACGTTTCCTGTGACATCTTTGGTTGAGAATCTTGAGATGCATGATTGCGATGTACAGTTGAGTCACGATCACATTGCGTTAGAGTAATGCTAGACAGCAATGGCATCATTTAGTACATTACCGGCTGGGTCCACAAATGAGCTAAAGACCGTAAGTCAGTCTAAACTTTTAGATAATCTGCAGCGGTAATTGGTTTTGAATTGCAAAATGTTAGTTGATGAAGAAGACGATTTATAAGTAAACGATAATGAAGAAGACGACCTACAGATCGTAGAATTCTACGATATACAGTTCTTCTTAGCTGCATTCGCCGCAGGTAGAAAGGTGGGGAGATGACACTTACCAGTTTCATATCTGGTGCTATCTTGTCGTTGGCCACGTATGTCATGAGTTGTGCGAACCCCTCATTGAGCCACAGATCGTCCCACCATCTGTTGGTTACGAGGTTACCAAACCACTGTAAATAAAATCAATAACGTTTGTTTAAAACTGTGCTCACATTTAAAATATGAAATCCAACACTTGTAGTATCTTTCACGTTTGTTTTGATATCTATAAACAAAGTTATTGGGAAGGCAAGCGCAGTGTCAGTAAAGCGTTTACCTTGGTAAATTACCTGGTAAACTAGAAGCAAATTAATAGTGAAGTGACGCGAAAAAAAATTCACAGGGGGAGCGCACTGTATTCTAAACCGCTGCGTCGTTTATCTTATTGATGTCTTAACGAAAACACCCGAGGATGGACGAACTAAGTAAACCATTACCTGATGGGACACCTCGTGGGCCGACAATAAGTGAACATACTGTTTATCATACGGCGAGCTGTGGGCGTCATCGTATAAAACAAGCGGCTCTCGGAAGGTGATGGCTCCCCAGTTCTCCATGCCCCAGGCTGCGGGCTCCGGGAGAGCTATCATGTCTGCAAAGAAGAAATATTTCAGGGTGGTTGATGATACAAATGCAGTACCCTGAGGTTCAGAGTTTACTGGTAACGCACCACTGCTTTCACCGGTCCAAACCGCAAACCAGAGAACTGCGAGTGTTCACATACCAGGCCCGTAGGCAGGGGGGTTCGGGGGGGGGGGGGTTCGAAAGAACTGCTCTTTTTTGCCAGGTAAAAGTCCAATCTGGGTAAAATTTGATTTCATTGTAAAAGGTCCACTTTTTCAGAAAAATACCCTTTTGAAATTGCTGGCTACGGGCCTGCATACTGGTGAGCTACCAATTGTCTCCGAAACTCAGGTTGCTCAATGTAGAGCCTGACGGTTGCCAATTATAAAAAAGGAAAAAAATCATGAAAACAAATTTTCTTTACAACGTAAGCTGTACCGGTATACGTAAAACCCCTGTTCTACCAGGCTTGCGACCGCTTGATAAAAGTATTTTGGCCCACAAATACGTTTTAATGCGGTCGCAAGCCATGGCAGTGTGACAGGCTTCATGTCAAACGCAGCCTCTTTTACCTTCATCTCTATAGAGCGATATGCCGAATAGATTCAAATTTTACATCGCACACATATCTCTCTTAATGTGTAGATTTCATTAAAGATGCTTATATCGAGTATTATAACATCCATAAGCAAGGCATATGCACCTATTTTCCTCAACGGGCACGGAATGTAGAAATATTGCTCGAAGAAGTTCAGCATTTTCTCTCCTAGATCAAGTGAATAGTTTGCAAGATGGATCTTTCCTGGTCTCGCCCAAACGCGTAGCTGATGTGGAAAAAAAGAGAAAAAAATAACTGTGCGTTATAAATTCAAAGACTATCACTCAAAGAAATAACAGAACAAAGAAAAGAACCCTCAAATGAAAAGAGATCAGAGAAGGTTTTCGTGAGATGCAATGATAATAATGATAATAATGATGTTTTTGACATTCAGTTTCTATATTGCTTGTAAATATAATAAGAATAATGTATCTATCACCTCCATGGAGGTGACATGGAGATAAAAACCATTATGGATGCTCTTGTCAACACTGTGTAGTTAAGGCACCCTTTATCACTCAATTTTTTTATCACAAGTGTTCGAAAAAGATCTTTTATTTAATTACCCCTTTAAAAAATAAGACGGGGGGGGGGGGGGGGTCAACTACTCTACTCCTGTATCTCACCAATATTCCGTTGGATGTCATTTTCGCCCTGTGTTTGAAGTTTCCAACAATGAAGACGAGAAGATATGTGGACATCACTGGTGTTTGGTAGTACACATCAGCGACCCAGCCATCGCCTCTGGAAATATTATACGTTGATCATTCAAACATTTTGCGACAACTTAATTTTATTCTGTGTATTAATGATCTACATCCTCCACCCCCCCTCCCTTTTCTCTCTTTCAAACCGATTCCACTGAGATATTGACTAAGACTCCGTTCACATGAAAAATCTATTTTCTAAAAATCTTTTTTCTATTCGCGGTATCTTGTGATCACTCCGAGCACAGCTTTGGAAGTAACTGGCTCGCGCTGCCAGTAATTACGCCGCGGGGTATTCAGGGCACAGACCGTGATCACAAGATACCGCGGATAGAAAATAGATTTTTAGAAAATAGATTTTCCATGTCAACGGAGCCTAAATGGCTGACGTCTCTCTCTCTACCCACCCTCCAATATATCAAAGTGCTGACAAATACGTGTGCTAAAATTCGCATATTAAACAACCAAGCCCCAAGCCCTTCAATAATTCTTATTGTTAATAATATGATTGTTGTGAATAATATCTTTAACAAAACAATTATATATTTTAAATTTCTTATGTTGACAATTCTGACAAAAGCCGAACGCGAACACAAATGCGTATTTCTTAAGCCCGTCAAAACAATGCCTTCAGAATATCAACGTTTACCAGTATGTACGTACATGACACAAAGTATGCAAAATCCATAAAAGCATAAAAATTGCATCAATCAATCTTATGAAAACAAAAAGCAACATGAAATATGTTTATCATAACAGTACAAAAACATTAAAAAAAATAACGAGTAACCGCGACAGCATCAGACTGAGGTTAACCTTACATCACCCCGAGTCTCCACGTTAAACCAAAAACCATCTCATGCGAAGGCATGCTTATAAAAGAGTGTTGAGTTGCCTGCTAAATGTGAAACTCGGGGTACCCTCACGCTGGATCAGGCAATATCATATTACAAGTTCATAAGGGCGTCCTTGCCCATAGTGATGTTAAATGTTTGTCACCGCATTGAGCGGACTGGACAACGCCTCTCTCATACTTCTGGATCCTGAAGCGCGAATGATCATCAATACCCTGTACTTATAGAAAATTAACATATTTATTGACTTTATTATTACAAGCAAGAGAACATCATACACACTTGTACACAGCATTCTAATACTTCTCCCATGCTATGGGATTAGTTTTCAAAATATGGTAGGTATTTTCACGTACCTTGTTTCAGATCTTGCTATCTCCATATTAGAAATGGACACGGTACTATTTGTTCTTACTATGGTGACATTAAATGTTGCTTTATACTCTGGCTCATCAAAACAAGGGAACGTTTTGCGCGCTTTTCCAGGCTGGAAGAAAGTTGCTACAACCACTCTGAAACAAAAATTAGACAACTTGAAATACAGAAGATCATTCATGTATGGGAGGAAACGAAGCAATTACACACGCACGCACACACACACACACACACACACACACACACACATAAATAAATGAAGGAAGGAAGGACGGGGGCAACTTCTCCCGTTCCATCTACAGTAATAACATCGAACTACCTGTGTCGTTCCATTTATTTGTCAGGCAACGTAACCAGTTGGTACTACCCCCCCCCCCCCCCCAAGTCCTGCTTTTCTCTCGATGGTTACAGTAAAACAAGTTTTGTAGAAGGTAAACAAATATGAGTTAAACAAAAGTAATCGTCTGAGTGCTGAGAGGCTATTCCTTAAAAGAACTTTACACACATGTCAGAAAAGTGTTTTTTTTTCAATTAGGAAAATGATCAAACGCTCGGCTCTTACATCCCGCGTTGCTTTGAAGTGCGAATGAAACTTGTAAACAACGAAAGCGGTAGGCCCTCTTAACAAAAATGAGACAAGAAGTTGCCATTAATAGGAGACCAGTGTAAAAAAAAAAAAAAAAGAAAAAGAAAAGAAAAAAAATGAGGGCCCGTGTAACAGAAAATCCACTTTGCATTAGATTCGTACAGGTTAGGGTTATAGTGACGTTAGTGGATCAAAATCTAGGACGGGGCTATTGGCACCTGTAAAAATCAATTGAAATCGAGCCCAGGACATTCTCTCGCAGAGAAATGACAGGTAGCTACATTACAAGAAAACAACGTATGCTTTATATGTGAATTTCTTTATCATCCGCTTTATGCATTCTGGGCCAAATACTCCAACTTACTCAGGTTTATCATCAACGGTCCAGGTGGATCTATACAACCCATCGAGAATATTTTCAGTAATTTCCCTGTGAAACAGGAAGAATATGATATACTGCTTGCCAGGTAGAAACCCTCTTGTCACGTCCCATATACAAAAATCTTTCTCCGGCTGACGGCGGGCATTCCGTAAGTCAACGGCCTTATTGGTATTGACCTCAAAAACTTTTGTTCTGTCAATTGTAAGATTTTTCCAGCAATGAATTGTTAAATTCCTAGTAAATTTAGTCACATTCACCTTGATGGATACCTGTCCTTTATAAGAATACGTATATGGGTCAAGGTCGGGTTGAAGTTCAAGGTCGTAATGAAGAGGTAGAAGCGTTCTTGGCAGACGGATGTAAGGTCTCGTTTTCTCTGAATTTTTTGCCACCCTTCTTTCTTCGTTTGTCGTATCGTTACATGTTTTGGGAATGAACAAAGTTGACATAAGAACTGCCAACGTTAAGAAAAGTAATATCATTCCTAAAAATATAACATCTCTCCGTCGTATAAGTAAACCTGATGGTTTGGTCGTGATATTGATCTTTTCAATAGGTTTCTCGGGATTTTCGGCCGTTTTTACATATAAGGCGATCATGTCTTTTTCTGCAGGAGGAAAAAAGTTTTCGCAGTTGGCAAAACCAGAATCTGGTGAGTCTCTATTTTCCATCTCTCCTTTCATTGAGAATATTTTAAATGATCAAAAATGTTATGATGATATTCACTCTTCTTGATCTTTCAGTTGACTTTAACTGGACGTTTTAGTTGGTTCTCAAATATGACGTTATAATCCTGTGGTTCCTAAAAGTTAATAAAACATGTTTGCCGTTTAATATAAAATACGTGGATCGCAGTTTTAAGAGGAACAAAAGTAAAAACCCTTGAATAATAATAATAAGTCGTATATGCACCGTGATATAATAACATATATAATGTAAAAAATATAATGCAAAAACAAAATGAGTCCAATAAAGGCTAGTGTAAATCAACATAAAAAACAGAGTAAGTATCACTACCTTAGCTTCTTAAAAAGATTATTTTCGCCATATTATCACATGCACACTATCACGTGTTCATGCCATCAAATTTATTTCAAATAACATTTAACGCAACACAGAGGTAACATGAATTCTCCTTACCGTGTGCACAAACAATAACACGCCAAATTCTTTATATCTCCACGTTTTCTGCTACGCTCCGTCTAAGCTTGCTTGTCAAAGATATTGAGTCGTTCCTAGAAGTAAATTCATATCACAATGAAAATTCCTTTCCTCTTCTGCAGGCTAATGGCCCTGTGATAATAAAGTTATGTCTATCAAAAATAGATTGAACGTAGGATTGCGAAAACAATTTCCTTGATCAATCATTCAGGAATGATCAGTTTCGGCAATCCTGTAAAGCACTTCCTCGTTCTGGTAAATAGCCAGTGCACTCCCGTTTAACCCACGAAAAGTCTGAACCGTTTACTGGCTCCGTTATATAGAACGTTTCAAATAAAACGAATCCCAAAACTAATAACTGTTTTAGTCTGCACCTCTTTATTGTCTTCAAGAAACGAAATGGTCAACTAAATATTTGATCATTTAAAATAAGACTGGATCATTCCTGGTAGGTTACAGTTCCGAAGTAGTTGAATTTACCACAAGTAAAAACGCACTGAACGCACGCTGTTTTGGGTTCGGTGCTCCATTGTGCGATGTCGCACCACGATATTCGACAAACAAAAGAGCATTTATCATTTTAATCACCAATTTCCAGTTACGTTTGTTTTTGTACGCAGTTTGGAGCATCAGAGTACAACAGCGTTTCAACATATCGAAGAAGGAAACCTAACCAAACCCAAAAAAGAAAAAAAATGAGTACATATTTATTTCAGATATACAAAACCTCAACTAACGATGAAGCCATGGTGATCTACAACACAACATCCAAGCCCTGCAGATTGTATTATGCTTCATTTCCAGCGCTTTAACTTTTCTGAGCATTCATCAGAGTTTTAAAAAAGATAACTTACTATAAAAGGCTGAAGATATTAATCTTTTAATTGTAAAATAATATGCATTGTTACGGAAATATGTGCTTCTGAAATTGTCCCTTTCTGTGGTTTAAAATTTCACAATTAATGTTTAGGAAATTATGCCAACGAGCTAATCAGGAGTTCAGGTAAAAATCACGGTAGAGAAAAAGAACACTACACGCTCATTACCTGGTAAATTTGTAAATCAAAAGAGATTTTCCATATCATTAGCTGTATTACGCGCGAAAATTTAAGCAGTTATTTTTCTTCAACCAGCAGCTAATATTGGAATTACTGTTTTACCAAAATAAATAACTAACGCTTCACAAATATACGTGTCATCCTACCTTCCAACGCGTGAACCATCTGTGCATTCGTTCACGTATCTTGGGAAAATGGGTCTATTTTTCATAACTACCCATGACCTCGAGTTCCGTTCGAAACAGGATATTATTAAGGATATGATGTGTTATTCTCGGGTTCACATTACACAGGGGTCACAATACATGTATTAATATCATGGCTCGGGAATATTAGCTAATTTAACTGGAGGCGTGTGGCACGCATATCCGTGCTTGATCAGCCGCTCGTGATATACCATCAAAAGATGTACAAATTGTGGAAATTCTGTTTCCTCGAAATATGCTATTAGCTACTAATATGTAATTATATGTATATAGCTATCAATAATTTGATATGCATTCGTAAAGTTATTTCTATTTATTATAAAGTTTTAGATAATCGATGCTGTTTTATGGAATAGAAAATGCAGTGGCGGATTTAGGGGGTGTCAGGGGTGTCCTGCCCCCCTTTCGATTTCTGAAAAAAAAAAAAAAAACAAAACAAAAAACAAACAAACAAACAAAAAAAAACAAGCCAATACTCCCCTCTTGAAATTAGAATTTCGACTAGGTGAATCATAGTTCAAAACCGTACCAAATGTCACCGTTCGCCGGGAGGAGGGAGAAGGGGGTTGCAAAGGTCGGTTTCGCATCCGCAGCCTGTCTTTCCTAAAATCCGGACCCCCCTTTCAATAATCCTGGATCTGCCCCTGAAATGTGCGTGTGCATATCAGAGTACCGAAATATAGATACGTCAGTCTGTGCTGTTTTTCCAGCACCGTGGAAAACAACGTTAAGTTTTACTTTTTAATATTGAAATTATAATGACATTTAACAAATGGATAGTTTTATTCGTGCGAAAAATTGCTTCTCTTATGATGGTGTCTGTTTTAGCACAATCGTGCGTTTTGGGCTCCGTGACTATGGGATAAATGACGCACGCACACACAGTGTTAAATAAGACTGGGTTCCCATCCCTAGATCGATCTAACAGGATCGGTCAATCTCCACGGGGTTTCTCGCTAAATTGCATGCTTTCAGCTTAAGTGGCTTAGATGTCTGGGACGCCTACTAAAGCTGCTAAACGATAGTTAATTACCCCCTATCAGCTTCAGTAGGCGTGACAGACATCTAAGCCAATTGAGCGAGAATCCCCTTGGAGATAGTTCGATCCAAAGTTAGTACGACAGGGCCTGGGAATGGTCTCTAACATATATTCAGTGACATACACACACGTACACGCGCGCACACACGCACACACACAGAGAGAGAGAGAGAGAGAGTGAGTGACAAACTTACTCAGTGACATACTCACACGTGCGGTTCAACAACGGCTTAACCCAGGTGCTCATACTTATTTTCAGGTGACAGCGAAGGGACGGTATAACTTGTCTCGTGTATAAGGTTCGGTCCTCAGGCAAAGCATGAGATAGACGTCAACAAATGTTTTAATGGTCCGAACTCGAGCGCACGTGGCAAGGGTCGAACAATAATTAAGTCAAAACCGCTCGCAACTTACACGGTGTGTCGCAGCATTGTTTTTCTGACCCAGCACTTACTAGTGGCTACACCTTCGCACACCCTGAGTTACATGTATGTACAGAGCACAGTTCAGTTTCAGTAGCATGCTGGAAATTGAGATTTGTCTCCAGTAAACTTGTGAATCCCAGGGTGTCCGTGTTAGCCCTGCTGTGAGGCAACCCATAGCCTCAGCTGCCAGGCATATTTTAATAGCGTCCGCGGTTTAATTAACTCTGTTTCCCAGGCACGGACAATCAAAATTTATTGTCTCAGACAAGTCTCTGGTGTGTTGTGTGCAACTGTGAAGTAATTGGTCGTAATGGTGTACATTTGGTTAAAACGCAGCTGAAACAAAGACTATATAAAATACGCGGTATGTGAAAAATGTTTACAAGATCGTGTCACAGAGATAAAATCATGTTTACACCAAATACTAGATATTTTATGGGATACAGCCGAGATGTCGTTGATTTACGAGAGTGAAAAAAAAAAAAAAAACGTTTAGATAGAGTAGACTGGAGAAGCACCCAGAGAACGTAAGCATGAGCAAAGGCAACTTAATTCTCATTACACTTAAGCACTGCTAACTAATTAATTTATTAACAAACCAATTAATTGATCATTTAATCACCACTATAATCTAGCCCATTTTCACATATCCTAAAAATTTAAAAAACAAAATCCTCCATAACTTATTTGCATCATGTTGCTGACAGACAAACAGACTTTATTAATAAAGTAATCAATTAATTAATGTATCGCTATAAAAACCTAATCGTTTGTTATTTGGTACCCTGTTCCATAATGATGCTAACAGACAAACAGACAAGCGGAACCAAAAACATAACCTCCTTGGGGTAGGTATATATTGTGTGACATACGCACGCGCGTGCACGCTAACACACACACGCACACGCAAACACACACACGCACGCACACACCCACCCACACACACACACACACACACACACACACACACCATATCCACGCTCAAGTAGACGGAGCAGTGGAAGGCAATGACTAAAATGTGTTATTTGAGACAAGTTAGGAGTTCTATGATTGTGTTGAAAGTTATGATTGTGTTGAAAGTTACTTTGCAATGGTCGTGGTCTGACGGTATCTCATAGGTCAGTAACATAATATGTACACTAATGCATCCAGGATATCATTCATCGAGGGGATTGGGCAAAAAATGGATTTACATTTTTTTAATAAACTACGTTTTACTATTGGTAACTGGATCGGTATAATTTCTCCATCAATGAAAATACAAAATGATGTTCAAGGTTTAATTTACTACATAGCCACGATGGAAACTTCGGGCCACACATTAATTTTCGCAAATCATTCGAATACCTTTAATATTTTGATGTGAAAATATAAATTAAGAAAAATCAGTTAAGAAATTGAAAGCATGAACCACCTCTCCTCCCTTCACCTAATTTTGATCCCATGTCACTGTTTGGGAGATTAGACTTTTCTATTTACAGGGGCGGATTGAGGCCGTCTTCTGGGTCTTCCGGAAGACGGTCAGAGTTTCAAATTTACATTGACAGGCATCTATTTTTTCTATCGGAAGACGGTCAAAAATGGAGGATGGATAAACAAAGATTATTTGGAAGACTGTCAGAAAATATCCCTGGATCCACCCCTGATTTATGAAACTGGGTCTACTCTTTTAAAAAAATGAGAATTATTTACTTACGTCAAACCTTTTTATCTTCTTTTATTTTTTTTCAAGCCATCTGGTTATAGAATCGTGAGGCTGCGCTGTTACTCACTTAAACTGCGTGACTAAGAAGAAAATATAAAGCCAGTTTATTAAACTGATATACCGAAGTATATGCAGAAGCAATCATATGATAGACTTAAGAACCTGATAATGTATTTGAATATTTTTTCGTAAGTTAACAATTTAGGAGATACAACTTTAGCACAAATGTGCAGAAAAAAACCCTTGGACCCTGCTCTATAAACTTGTTATTAAAGCTTTCGTGAGGAAATGCAAAAATAATTTGAGTTCCCCGCGCCAGAAAGGACAAAGGTTAAATGATATAGAATCTGACTGAGAGGGTAAAATATTGTTGTTTACTTTCTGCACGGGAAAATCCCTTACACTTTGGAAAGCAAACCACCTGCATAATAATCTAATGTATTTTGTTAATAAAATTTGTCATAGGCTCAAGATTTGTGCTTAAATCCTTTTTCAAAAAAATATGAAAAAATATGTCAGATAACAATTTTCTAAAATTTGGGGTGTTTTCCAGGTGTTTTCCAAAAGAGGAATTCCCAACCTCGTTTCCACGAAGTACTCACGTGACCAACAGCGAAAACGAGGTTGGGCCGGGATTCTGTTTTCCTTGGGAGGAAATTTTTCAACAATATGCTATAGCAAAGGAATTTAATGTAGAAGTACAAGCGCTTGCAAACTTAGCTGCAGCTGACTGAATACAGGAGTGTTTCTGCATTTTTCGAAGAAATTTCGTCCTTTAAAAACAGCCGTGAAAATGGTGGACGTCGTTATAAAACTGATCTGGTACCGGCTTGGGGAGACGGCAGCAAATATGGCTGAAGCTGCCGACAATGTATACGACCATTTCACCACAAAGTCATGGCTTGAATTAGACCCAGTAAACGTGCTTTTATTATGGTGGCTTGTCTTAGCGGCTGGTATAGTACTGGCTGTAAACTTTTACTTCAGAGCGGTGGATGCCACAAAAACAACGACTGAGACGACGGAGGGGTCGGTCGCAGAACATGCCCCTGTGGTCCCCGAGGCCGATTGGGAGTGGGTGAATAGCGCGATCAAGTGGTTTTATCTCAATTTCCGTGACACCACAGACTACCTGGACGCCTGGCTCAGTGCTGTGAACGAGAAGTGTAGAACGCAGCAGGTGAGAAGTGGTTTTGTAATGTGTAGAATAAGCCCAAAGATTTTTTCAGCTCTCTTACATTGTTCTCATACTTTGCCTGAGGCTCAAAGACTGCCCCCCCCCTTTTTTGGGGGGAGGGGGAGGGGAGGGGGTATCTATATAAAAGTATGTGTGTTTATGATTTTGTTTCAGATTGCCTCGTGCGTTACACAGTTATTTGGATCCCATGCGTATTTTAAGATATTAACTTAAGGTTTTAGTTATCAAGGAACATGTCAGCGTGTGTGTGTGTGTGTGTGTGTGGGGTGGGGGGGGGGAGGAGGGGACAGGGTCCCATGTTAAATATCACTTCATGAAATGACCCTGTAGAATTAAATTTACTAGCATATCCCTTCTCAAACCTTTTTATTGTATTCATTGGCATCATCAAGACTGCAATGCCCAAGGCTGCAATCAATACATAGAACTACACAGCATCTGCAAAGAACAAAGTGTATTCAGGTCCCCCTTGGATAACTGTAGAGGTGTCATTGATTATCTGTCCAGTGTTAATAATTCAAAAGCTACTAGTAGTGATCAGACATAAATGCAAAGGTGACAGTGACATGCTATCACAATTTCTTTGTTGTTTTGTTACAGTTTTTATGACACTGATAGATGGATATAAAGGTTTGAACTGTCATCCTGCAGAGATGGTTCAGTATATTAGTATTTTCAAAATTGTTATGTTTGAATAAAGGGAAAAGCTTGTCCAGGTAAATGAATATCATTGATGTGGATTTATCAATTTTGTTTGTTATTAAGGCTTAATATAGGGCTATTTCATTGTAATTTTCCTCTTGGCAGCTTATGTAACACTCCCTTTAGTTTTTCTAAATACCAGTGGGTTTTTACTAATTAATCAGGTTATTTCAAATTAGTTAAGATTACATGCAATTGCATTTCTTATTTATTGTTAATAGAAAAAAAAAGTGAATTTGAAAATATGAAAATTAAAATACTGAGGTCCTAGATTTTAATCAAAATATATCATGACCTTTTTCAAAATTGTATTTTTTTCAAATGTTCTTATCAAAATGGCACTGATTTTTATATTAAGGTTTTAAACTGCTGATGGCCATAAATTATCATCCCCACATTTTTTTTACAGTCAGATCTCTTATGTGATAAGAACATAAACCTTAGGTATTGCAAGCCAGTTTCTAGAAGCAAAGGAAGTAATCCCAGTGCACTGGACAAGCTCCCTGCTGTTCACTCTCATTGCTTACAGCAGCATGAACAGTGATGTTAGAAGTATGAGTTTAGCATAAAACATAAAGTTTGTGGTCATTTCCTATTAGAAGCAGGAGCTACACCACGCAGTGTAACACTTAAGTCAAAATGCCACAAAATTGCTGCAGACCATGTTGTTGCATATTCCTTGCTGCTGGTAGTGTCCCCAGGTATTACTGCAGAGTGGTGAAGGTTATAGGTAATAGCCAAAAGCTCTCTGATGGAAAAAATGACTGCTTTTGGGGTTTTGTGTTATGAGGAGCATTTCAATTGACTTCACTGTGAAATATTGTTGTTTGAGTTAATGGCATTGAAAAACAACACTAAATGGGCAGCACATTATTAATTTAGAGTTATATGTGTCTTTCTGTAGAATAGTAAGTATCTTCTTTGCAATATTAAAGTTTTATCAGTTTACTAGTACACCGGCAAAAGGTTGCATGTAGTTTTAGTATTTGACAAGATATTAATGAAGGTCAGAACTTGTCAACAGCTCAGCAGTTGACCACCTGAGTCAGTGCTGTGCAGAGGTGGGGTTTTGCTGGGCTTGTGACTGTCATCTGGATTACCACAGCTGACTTGTGATGCCATGTAGAAAAAGTCCAGCACTTTTTAAGACACAAGGTAACCTTTGTTTTGATAACCAAAACAGGATGGCATGTTGATTTGGAAAATACTTCAGCCAAGTAATTTTTTTTTAGTAAAATTGCCTTAAATGCTGCTTGGAATCTGGGCCCTTTTTAGACTTGATCATCCACTTTTATGTAGAAAGCATAAAACCAATTTGACTCTCAGTTGGTTCAGTAAAGGTTTCATATGTTATATTTTCTTGTCTACAAAACAATATACCACAACCTGAGAAAAGGATACAAAAAATCACTTTTCCTTAGATTGTTATATTTTTCCAAGATGACATAGAGCTGTACAGTTACTTTGGTGATATATGAGAAAAAGAGCTTATGAATTTGTATAATAATACACAGCTTCATCCATGTGAAAATTTGTTCAAAAGTAAACCCCATGTCATGGCCATACTAGCTGACCTACTACATATGATTTGATAATCTTACCTTTACATAACTCCTCATAACATACTTGCCGTATAAAACCATCACAGACACTGTTATCTTGTCAGCACCTTTGAACAAGAAGACCAGACAAAAATTTTCTACATGTTTAGAGGTAAGTCTTTCCTAAATTTTGTCTTCACTCACCACTTAGCGGCAACTGTTATCTAGAATGAATTATAGGTGAACACAATTGGGTTTTGACCCACCTTTACTGGTTCTGTAATGAGCTAGTGTTGTGGG